GTACGGGGGAAAGCTGGCCAGGGGTCCGCTGCTCGGGGACTGGCTGGGCATCGGTTGGCGGGTGGTGAGCAATTGCACTGTGCATTACTTGCTTTGTGTATTATTATTATTATTATTATCATCATATTATTATCATTTTATTTCAATTATTAAACTGTTTTTATCTCAACCCACGAGTTTTTTCTCACTTGTGCTTTTTCAATTCTCTCCCCCATCCCACCGGGTGGGGGGGAGTGAGCGAGCAGCTGTGTGGTGCTCAGTTGCCAACTGAGGTTAAACCATGACACCCTAAGAGTTCTCTTTTTTTTTTTTAACTGATAAAAAAATATGGTTTTTAATATGTACTGTCCTTGCAGAGCTTATAGGATTGGCCAATACAAAGATGTTAAAGTGTTTAGATTGATATCCCTGGGAACTGTGGAGGAGATGATGTACTTGCGACAAGTTTATAAACAGGTAAAATCCACAAACTGTTTAAATTGGGAGCTCTTTTTAGCTGTTTCAATGACTGATAGCTAAGCTGGCCTATAGCAAAATTGTCGTTTACCTTGGTTTTATGATATATGCTGTTACCTTAACTTATTAAGCAGAGATATCATTTAGCAATTGTCAAAGAACAAAACAGAATGATATTTGTATTCAAGTTTTTCTGTAACTTTTGACGGTTTAATTATGCAATATACATTAATCAGGTTATATCAAGAAGAGAAATATTTTATTTTAAAACTTGTAAAATATATCTGCAAAAGTTGTAGTTAGTATCTGTAGCAGTCTGATTCAGGCAGCTTTTTCTTTTGAAAGGTTGGAGAAAGAGAGCAAAAATCTTGCTGGTGCTATAGAAGTAAGAAGACATTGCTATTCTCCTGCCTTTGAAAACTTGCTTATCAAAGGAGGGGGAAACAGCTTGTAGTTGCTGGTATTACAAAGATAGGAAGTGATGTTGTGTGCCAGAATACTCAACCTGAAACAGTTGCTCTCTCTAAATTTTGCTACTTGCATTGATAGGTTTAAAAACCTAAGAGATGGAAAAACAAAGTGTGTGGTTTGAGGAACACATAGTCTAGCAACTGTTTCCTGATGAGATCAGAATTAAAACAAAAAATAAGCAAACTCAAACATGAACAACAAAGAGCAGGCTGCAGAATAATAAGAAACTAGATGAAATATGAACATGTTTTTCTCAACAAAAGTTGCAAGTTAAGAAATAAGATGATTGGCTTTAAGTTAAGGTACTGACATTGTAGGCTTATAAACTTGGAGGAAGGAAGAAAATCAGTGAGATACAGTTGTCCTGGAGAATGCATTGCATAGAAAAGGCAAAGTAGGTCACCTCAGTGGGCAAATGATACCATGTATTAAAGAAAAGCTTTATGAAATTTGATGAAATTATAACCTAATAATTTCAATGTTTGGCCATAAACAGGAAAAATGTGGTGTTGAGTCTTCGGTGACAAGCACCCTCTTGTAGCTGGGTTATTTACAAGGAGGAGGCTGGAGGCTGAATGAGTGGGACATGCAGTAATAGACAGGTTGTCATTATCCTCATACAGATTTAAGTAAGTGACAAATAAGAATAAGGTTCTAAGATCAAGTATTTGGACATGGTATCTGATTTCACAGAGCAGATAGTCAGAAACCCCACAGCTGGAGCAAATCTTGAGCTGCTCTCAGTAATGTGTATGGCCTGTTTTAAAATGTTACTTTCAAAAGTGTAACAGTGACCTTCTCTCACTTAAATTCAATGCTTTGTAGAAGCCAAAAAGAATCAGAATTCTGTTTAATTTTGACAAAATGATCCAAATAAAAAAAGAGGAAACTTGTTAAGAAGAAATTAAAAGTAGTAGGTGATGGGCTGATGTGCTTACAGGTGATTGGGCAATTTTCAGAGACTGTATCAGAAGCTCAGAATGAAGAAGGCATTGTATTAATATTTGAAATCATATACTAATGAGGCGAGTTAAACATAAAACACAGTAAGTCCAAAAACTACTTTTGAGGGAGAGTGGTCTAAAAACATAAAAGCTAATAATTTAGTTTTTGAACACATCAGGAGCAGGAATTGTATTGCTCTATGGGTGTTACTTTAGCGAGGTTTAAAGGAATGTTCATTGCAAAAAACCCGCTTGATCTATTCTTTATATCCACATTCATGGAAAAGCTTAGAGAGCATCCTGTTTCAAAGTTTCTCTTGTGCAAAGTACTTTTGAGGATTTGTTTCAACAGCAAGTATTAGTAGGAGACATCTCTGAAAGGCTAACAAAATGATCGATAGTAGATTACGACCAACTATATTCACTAAAATCCTGAAGGAGCGAGTCATGCTTCCCAGAGGTCTTTGGAGTTGGTGATTTTGTAGATAAAGAAGACCTGGATTATATTGTCTGTTTGGATTTCCAAAAGGCATGTATAAAACTTCTTGAAAGGCTCTTGTTTGTTTGGGTTTTTTTCCCAAGTTGACTTGGGTCTTTCAAGTCAAATAAGAAGCAATAAATAAAGTAATTGTGAATCTGGAGGTTTTTTTTTTAGTCTACACTACTGCATTCCCTGCTATTGACACTTGAGCACAGTTAAGAAATTTTCAGTAAGTTGTGAAGAAAATGCTTTTATCTGCTGTTGAAAATTCAGAAACGAATTTTTTTATTAGTGGTGTTTGGTTGTTTGACCTAGCCATATGTAATTGAAGAATCTGATACAAATAAAATTCAAATCTAACATAATAGAAACCTGAATAAGTTACATATGTATCCTAAAGTATACTTTTGTAAATACCATGCATAATTCAAGCAAAAGTAAACTGTGCTTAGCTAAAGTTAAACTAGAATTTGACTGTATAGTTACTGGCCTACGTAATTCAAGAGATGTGCTGTCTAGGAAAATGCCTGTTCAGTGCTAGGACCAGAAGTGGGTAGAACTGAAGAACTACCAGCTGTTTAGAGAGAGTTACAAATAATATTACAGGTCTGGTATCCATAAAACCATGGTTTTGACATTATTCCACTTAAAGTCAAATATACTAATTATGTAAGTATTGAAAATTTGCAGTCATTGGAATGCAGCTAAACCTGCCTGGCTTAAAAAATGTTTTAATTCTGCCTGACAAACTATTTACTTGTCTTTCCTTTTCACCTGGAAGATTTAAGTCACTTCCGTTCAATCTACTTAGCAAGAGGGCATGATAATTAAAATATTCAGAGAGATCAGTAGGAATAATCGTGTGGCTTTTACTCAGTCCTTACCAAGTAAGCATGCAATGCAAAGGACTGTGGAAAAAATAGTAAGAATTTAGTATCGAGGAAAGATGAGCAGTCAAGATAGTGTCAATAGTGTGTGTATAGTGGGTGTCTGATATTAGACAACAATGAAGGAAAAGACTTGAAATATTTTTATTTTTTTTATACAGTAAAACCAAGCAGGTTCATATTATACCACAATCTATTACACCAACATCTGCCAGGGAAACTAAAACAAAATATCCTCCCTTAGGAATTTCTGCCTGCTCCAACTAAAGCTGTGTATATAATGTGGATACCAGGAAATTCTCACATGTTGTTGGAGCAAACACTTCTGAAATCTCTTGTGTTGTTCTGTTTTAGCAACTTCACTGTGTGGTGGTTGGAAGTGAAAATGCCAAGCGGTATTTCGAGGCAGTGCAAGGATCAAAGGAACATCAAGGAGAGCTTTTCGGGATCCATAACCTTTTCAAACTCAGGACTCATGGGTCCTGTCTTACCAAAGACATCCTGGAGGTGTAAAGTCCTACCCTTTTATTTCTGTATAATAGTTTTACATTTTTCCTTTCCTCATGAGATGTTTCCATTCAAAATTACAACAAAATACTTTGTAAATCAGATAAAATTAAACAGTACCTGCCTATGCAGTGCCTTACATGAAATAGGTATGCTAATTTCTTGCTCTGATGTAGACCAGATAAATTCCCTTAAATCAAACAAAAAACTGGAAAAAGTTTGGATTATATTTTCCAAGTTTGCTAATATATTTCTTTTCCTAATAAAAATGCCGTGACTTACCTTTGCGATACTTTCACATATTGTCAACTTTGTGCACAGATACCTTTTATTCATCAGTAGCTCAGTGACCTTTTAAGCCAGAATTCTGATCACAATTTTTTTTATGATCATAGTAAACTTTGTATAGTATATTTTGAGATGTCAAAAACTTTTAAATAAAATATATTTTATCATGCTGCATTTAAAAATGATACAAGGTGGAAGTAAATAACTGAGGCTTAATATTTTAAGATTTATTTCTTAGTTACTCTAAAAAGACTGTTGGTTCTATTCCATAGCATATAGTGCACACTGGTTTTGAGTGTATGCAGTATTATACCTTTTTCTATCTGGCCTGTATGCTGCAGGTAACTTGCATCTTGGAATTTATTGCGTCTTTATTCTGGGTTTCTTTCCATCCTTCCCTTTATTTTGTTATTTTGCCTATACTAGGAAGAGGCTGGGGAATGTGATATAGCAGTATAAAGGCAGCATAGCCAAAAGAGTAATGTGGTGTAAGAACACGTACTTTGGGGATATTAATCCCAAAAGTTCACTAAAATAAACCTAAATTAAAATATGGCATATAATATGAACATTGTAGCAGGTGTTCTGCTTTGGAAAAAAGGTAAAAATTATTAAAACAGTGTATGCATAAGATCCTCCCAATTTATGTAGTATGTTACTTTTCCTGCAGGTTATGGGTTAGGTCAAAGAGCAGTAAGTAAGTGCCAAAATATCTTAGTCTGGTCTTTGCTTATTTTACTTCTGATGCTTATATCTCTGTAGAAAAAAAGAAAAACTATTTTTTTCTGGGCTTGCCTTTGTTAACTTGAACAGATACAGTTTTCATTCTATACGTTTTTGATTGTTTTAGAGGGAAGGGCGAGTAGAAGCAGGAGTCATGACGGCAACTACATGGCTAAAGGAGGAGAGTCCTCCATGCGGCTCAGAAAAGGTGAGGTGTCTTTGTGGACTATGGACCAGAGCATGACAGTCCCTCTAGTTCCTGATACTACAGTGGCAAATGTGGACATTATGTTGTTAGGCTGGTAATGCTTTTACCCTAGATTGCACTTGCCATCTATTATTGTCTGCTTGCCCCTGGTTTTACATATTGTAAAGCTTTAGATAATGTCATGCTGTCTGTATTTAAAGTGGAATATTCTGAACATCTGGTAATATGGTATTCTGACCTTTACAACACTTGGATATCCTCAGTCTGAATGAAGGTATTACTAACATGCTCTTATTACAGAGCAATATTGTTTACTGAAGCATTGCTCTGGAGTGTCTTAAGAGTGACAGCCTTATGGCATGATATGACGATATGATATGACAGCCTTCTGATCAAGAAGTCAGTTGAGAATCTAATGCCTACTGTTGTTTAGAAGATTTTGGTTAGGGAATTGTGGAAAGGAGTACAATTGGTTTAGAGGATTGAAAGCTTGCTTCAGGCTTTGTGGACCTCTGTGGAAGGCATGGGCTATTTAGTTGATGTAATTAGACAGTGATTCCCACCAAATCAATGATCCGTTCAACACTGGCTTTTTTTTTTTTTTTTTTTTTTGAAATAACATGTCTAATAATTTCCTCATTTCTTTCTGGAACAAGAATTTTTTTTTTCCCCCTTGTAAAGTCTGGGTTTAATAGGAGTATTTTTATGAAGGTTTTTGAGTAAATGCTGTTCAGATGATTTGGGAAACAAACAGTTAGGTCTACAATACGGCCTCTAAGCATGAAATTATCATTAGATAAGATCACACTGAATAGTACTGAAAATTAGCCACTGTCTCTTATGCTTTTTGGAGATTTCTGTGGATAAATGTCAGTGTTAATTTAAATAAGTATGCCATAACATTGGTCATAACCTCACATTGCTAGTACATCACTGTATGGTCATGATCTCACAGTGGATTTGGTGACAAACAGTAGCTTTTTTAGCTTGTGTTTAAATGCTTTTTGATATATCAGGATTAATCTATTTTAAAACTTCTCTTCATGTACAAAAGTTCAGTAATTACCCTTCTGACTTTTCATTTAAATATTGTTATAATTCTTATCTCAGTAGTACACAGTTTCGGAGTTGTATTCTGGACTTCTGTAGCTTCAAACTGTTTTAAGATTGCCTGGAGGGTAATTTTTGTTTGATTACAGTAGGCCTCAACTAATTTTAAGAGCAGACTGTTATGTACTCATAACTCTTCTAAACTGTGTTAGCCCCCATATACAAGGAGGTTGACCGCTGCTGGGAGATTTTTTTTTATGAATGTCATTACACACTATTAAGGTGTGAATCGTGAAGTCACTTTTCAAACTACCTTTGAAAGATGAAAAGTTGCAACAAGATCAGTATAAACTAGAAAAATATTGGTGTGGATTGTGAAGACATAGGTTGTTTTAGCAGCGTGCAGCATATATAGTCTCAATTATGTATTTTTGGTTATTTTCATTGTTGTTCTGCAAAAGACTCATATAATTTCTCTTCATGATTTGTTTTGTATTTACTTTCTATTTGTGTATTTTAATACTGTTTTGTATATTTTTTTGATTGAGTAACATGGTGAAAACCCACTTTTTTACACTGCTTTGGAACTAGGTGCATTCCATATATTATGTTTTAAATACTTTTGCTGTAAATTACTTTTAGTATGAAGAACCAGACTGTAAAGAAGATAGAGATCCTGGAAGCATTCAAGCACAATTAAAGAGTGAAGAAAGGAATTTTTGTGATGACTTTAGTGATGATGATATTCTGGAAACTTCTGTGAAAAAATGTGGCAGAAGGAAGCCTTGCAATGCAAATAATTTAATGGTAGCAAAGGGACAGCTTTCCTTAATGCAGTGTGGATTCGCTAAATTGTTGCAGAGAGAAATCGAAACTACCAAAGAGTGTAATAATTATAACTTTCATCATTCAAATTCTGATGAGACTGTAAGAACAAATGTAAATAGCAAGCATAGTGATGTTCAGAAATGTCAAAGCCATGTGCATGTTTTGGAGCATAGGAAAGCTGCTCAGTCGCCGGATGGAACTGATAAACAAGATATGCGTAGTACAGACTGGCTTGTTTTGTCAGGCTCTGAGGAGGAAGGGGATAGAGAAGGTGAGGATCGATGCATTTCAAAGCAAAGTGATGTCGTCAATGAAACTGAATGGAGTTCTGAAGAGAATGATGATGTCATCTTTCCTACCCAAGTTCCAGCATACCAGCAACCAATGCTTACTAAAAAAGTTGAAATTTACAGGTCAGCATCTGAAAAGTGTGAAGAGTTAGCAAAAGAAAAAGATGAGTTGGTACGTAAGGGAGACAGTAGGCAACTTGGATTCCATAGTACAGAGTCAAATTTCAGCAAAGTCATGTCTTTTGAAGACATCAAGAACAGCACAAAAGATTTGAAAGGGGCAAGTGACATAAGTGATGAGTCTGATGATATTGAAATTTCCCATAATTCTGAATCAAGAAAGTTAAGAACTTTAAGCTTTCCGAAATGGGAGGAAAGACATGCCCATAAATATGGACCAGGTAGCTTCTCCAAATCTCTGCTACAATCAAAGAAGCCCAATAGAAAAGAAAAGGAAAGTGATTCTCAGAATATAGATGAATTTTCATCCTCTGAAGATAACTTACCAGTTGAGAAAATTCATGCCAGAAAGCAAAGCTCTAAGTGTAAAAGACAGAGAGGCAGAGTTCAGTTTGGGTCTAAAATGCTTTATCCTATTCAAGATACCTCTGTTGCACAAATGAAGTCTAGCGATTATGCTGTGCGTAGAACTTCTGCAAGTAAAACTGAATTTGAACATCAAGAGCAGAAGGTGGAATCAATGGACAGATATTTAGGTAACTAGTCAGTTTTTCATTTTATTTCAACTAAACTAGTAACATAAGTTTAATTTATCATGGTTGGCAGGTTTTAAGTTCTTCCTGCTATACGTTTTTGTTATAAGATATTAATAAATGCTCTGCTAAATTATTTAGTAGTGTCTTTCTGTATCTCTCTTGTTACCTATTAGCCTTACTTTCCTGTCTTCTGAGGGGATGGGTTGCTTTGTAATATTTTGTTAAACTCTTGCTGTCTGTTGAAAGATGCTAGGATTGAGGATTTACTAAGAATTCACAGATCTAAATATTTGAACTGTAAAACATTAAGTCTTGACAGGGCTGTTAAATAAAAACTTACGTACATGAAAAAAACTTATGTGAGTTTGAAATACCATGTAGAAGATTTGATTCTGTTAGAGACTTAATTTTAATATTTCAGCCATTAAGTCATACATGCTTTGAAACTTCTTGTCCATCTGAAAAAAAACACACTGAAAGGGAAGCAGTATTAAACTGTCTGGATAAATCTGAATAAGTCTAATGATTGTTGTTCATTTCATAGAGCTGAGAAACTTGGTGCTGAGTGAAATCATAACAAATTTTACAACTTTCATGTAAAACCTTTTAAAAATTACAATATCCTTCTTCAGTGCAACTGTGTACCTTCAGGGTTTTGGAATAAATCTTTGATTATATCTTTCTCCTAATATATCAGATGGCGTTCAAGAAGTGGCATATATTCATTCAAATCAGAATGTGGTTGGATCCAGCAAGGCCGAGAATCGCTTGAGCCGGTGGGCAGTGCGAGACGTATTTGAGTTGAAGCAGTTTTCCCAGCTCCCTGCTAATGTAGCAGTCTGTAGTGCCAAGGTAAAGAGAAATGTTTGGGAAATGTTGTTTTTACTGTTTTTATCCTCATTTTTCATCTTAAAAAGCTCTAACAAACTTGTTTTTCTGTTAATGGCCACCATGAAAGATCAAAGCCACTGAGGATGGGAGGAGGAGGCGGCTCAAATGGAGGTCTAATAAATTACTTTTGTGTTTTGTTTTTTGTGGTTTTTTTTTTTTTCATTGGCCAGCTCTGAAAGAATTGGGAATTAAGCAGCAGAGCACCCTCTGTGGGGTTTTTCTTAGAGAAATGGTAAGATTAAAGATTGGGTGTTTGAAATCAAATTCTGTGCCATGTTTTTCTGATTTGAGGCTTGAAAAAACTTCAGTTTGTCCTGGATCCAGTTAACAAAAATCCAGTTGCCACAGTACATGCCGGAATCTCTGTGGCATAGAAAGTCAAACATAAATCAGTTTGCAGGTATTTTTTTTGGGGGGGTGGACACATGCAGTTGCTATAGTAGGTTAAAGTAATGGTCATTATTGTCTATGCTTAATGTCTGAAATGTAAAACTAGAGTTTACTGGGAGTGCTCGTTTACAGCAACAGGTATGTTTTGTGCTTCTTGTTTGTCATGCATCTTGTTTAATTACATTTGGAATACATACAAATCTGGAATAAATTCAGGTACAGCTTCCTGAATGTTTTTGTTCTTATTACATAGTGGTTTTAATCTACTCTGATTATCTGGACACTTTGTTTGTCTTGTAATAAACATTTTCTGTTTCCTAGACTTACCTTAAGATAAACCATAAGCATAGAATAAGTGATTGATGAATGTGCAGTTTAGTCTTTACAAACATACTAGCAATCAGTATAAAAATTGTAGACAGAAGACTGTGTCTTTCTGAGGTGTTGAACATCTGCAGTGGCTAAAAGAGTTTCTTCCAGTGTTGTTGATATACTGTATTTAATTAAGCCGTTAGCAGGGATGCCAAAGAATTTTTGCACTGGGAAGATCAAACCAGGCCAACCAGTAAAAGTGAGGCCTTTTCAGTTCTAACACATTTGCATTAGAATGTCCCTTATTAACAGAAAAGTTGGTCAAAAATACTAAAGAATACTGTAGAAGTGTCCTTATTTAATGGCAATGGCTGACAACATTAATAAAACTAAATATAAATGAAAGAAAACTTTGAAGAGTACTTTGAATAAGTGTCTGTTGATCCACCTATGTTCAAAACTAGTTTGTGGGAGTCATTTGTATTGTTCATGTAACTTACACAAACTCTAAATGATGAGATGTGACTGCAACTATTACAAATTAATCTCTCTTGATTAACTTGTCAGTCAATTTTTCTGAGGTATCTATTTTTCACTCAGAAGCAACAGTAGTATCAATTCGCTTGGTGATTTAAGTAGGAAGAAAAGCATCAATAATTACGGAGAAGGCTGCCTCTTCCTTTGCTTCCTGTTCTTTCTTTGACGTAGAGGCACTAGTCTAGAAATAATCCCTAGATGGCTGCCTATTCTTAAATGTGGAGCTTTGAATATTTTGTGCTCAGCTTAAAAAAAAAAAGAGCTGCCAGAGCTTCATAGTCAACTTTGAAATATGATATACTTAGAATGTTACTGCTACTATTTTCCTTTCCTCATTATTTTATTTTTATTTTAAAAGGCATTTCATGTAAAACATGATCATTGTTGCTTTTCTGGCCATCAGTCTTTGGTCATTTTTCACTTATTTGCCATCAGTTTAAGCTAAGATATTCACTGTCAGAGCAACTAATTGTGTTATAAAGAGAATGCTGATTTCAAATGATAATAAAAAAGTTTTTCAACAGATTAAAGTAGCAATATGCCTAATATTAAAAATACAGCTGAACAGTTTAAATTTCCATCATTATTTTCGGTAAATAAAATTATAGTACTAAATACTGGAATGTTAATTGTAACCTGCTAGTCATTGAAAGCAAAGCAAAAATTTTGTCCACTGAAATTTCTCACTGATGTTGCTTTTTAGCATCATTGTTCTAACTGTTTCTCGGAAATTGTTTCTGTTTGCTCTGGGTATCAATGATCACATTCTTAATGAGAAGCTTTTTTTAACAGCGTATTTATATTCAAGCTTTATTTGATAGCATCATGAAGGCTCCTGAATAATGCCCTGATAATATTTATGTCCCTTTTTAAGCACATTTAATCAATTTATCTTACATCTTAAGTAGGAGTGATCAAAAAAGGATCTCTTCCTTTCACTTCATAGATAGGTCTCTTTGGGATGAAAGTAAAATGTCCTTTGTGTTGTTCAGTTCACCTATGCCAACTCTGTCTTCCTGCTTTGCAGTTTTGCTCTGCAATCTGTCTATAATAATGCATTTCTGACTTAATATAAGTTTAAATACATTTTTCAAGAAATGACTAATATCTCTGGGAAAGGGATGCAAGAACTTTTTAAAAGCATTCCATTGAAATGGATGAGTTGTAGGTTGGGAAATACAGCTTTTCCCACAAATCTTGGTTGAAGACTGAGTGAAACACTTTTGCTTCCTGCTTACATATGAATCTAGAATGACAGGCGTAATAATGTTACAAGTAATAACCAAAAAGTATTAAATAATAAGCAGAAATAATCAGTTAAGATAACCTCTTGTAAGAACATTGACATTTTGTTGATTTCTTGCTATTGACTAGTCATCTAATCACGTTTTGGCTTCACTAAATTCCCATGAATTTTACCATCCTACGTTAAGTTCTTTAGTTTCAGTAGCTATTTTATGGAAATGAGGTGAATATGAGTAACAGCAAAAATAAGTTGCTGGAAAGCAATATAAAAGAATTCGTCTTCCTGTTTTTCTATCTGCAGTAGATAAAAGGAGTATAAATTAGGTTTATTAGTCCTTCCTTTATTGCTGAAGCATGGAGACTAATGTAGCCACTTGAGTTGTAGAAACTGCTTAAAACAGGAGCAGACTGCAAAACCTGTGAGGACTCTTCCTTCAAAGTGAAAGAGGTTGCATGGGAAGAAGATCCTTGAGAGCCAAGGTAGAAGGTATGGGAGGCAGGGAGTTTTGTTCCTCAAAAGAGAACTTTGAAGGTATGTAGAACATTTTAAGAACATAAGTAACTAATGAATAAGTAAACTTGGATTTAAGTTGTGTATAAAAAGTGTAAGATTTGAACTTTGGGATAAGAAAAGATATTTGTCTTGGTGATAGTCTCTTTCCTTAGTTTGACTTCAGAAGGTATATGTTAGGTCTGGACTGTTGGCACTAATGTAATTCACAGTCAAATCTCTCTTAACCTTTTAAACTGTAGGTTTCAATTGAGCATTTATCCAGTAATAAGTATATCCAGCCTGTCCTTCATGTTACCTGTGCTAGTATTCATATACCCCAGCTACCTTTTCTCTGAAGTAATAGAATGTATTATTTTAACCTGCTATTGTTCTGTACAATTAAAGGCTTAAGGGAACAAAACCTTGGTTCTTTTTATGAGAAACAGGTCTTGCTACTATTTCCTCTGTTCTTGCTTGCTTTGTGCTCCAGGTTCCATAACAGTCCTGGTACATGGCTTCAAGACTGCTGCAGAGCCTTTGACTCTTCTTTCTCCCGAGGTGGTAGGGGGCACAGTCATACTCTCTGTTTCAAAAGGAATTGTGTAAATTGACTAGTTTAGCTAGAATGTTCATGTTTATAATACTGCATGCTTGTTTAGTGTGTATTTCCATAAATTCTATATGACTATTGAAAATCGAGTTAGGTAACAGCAATCAGAATATGAAGTCTGCTGTCAAGAAATAGAAATAGAATATCGTGAGAGCTCACCTACAACTTATCAGCTATGAAAGGTGAGATAAAATCTAAGACTAGTAAAAGTAACAGTATGAAGTATGCATTAATTATACAAGTAAGAGAATAAACCATATTTTGGTTGAATATCATTAGTCAAAATAAGTCCTGTCCAGCATCTGAATTAAAGAAAGATAACTATTTGAAGACAGTCTGTATGTGACAATAGTAGAAGCAAACAAATGTGAAAGGTTTTATCACATGATCCTGAAGAAACTAAAATAAATTGTGTTTTTGGGAATATATTCCCTTTATCACAGAAGTCCACGGAATTGCATAAAAGTGGAAGAAGACTCTCTAGCTGTAGGTGAGTTGCAGTAGCATTTTCAATGAAGAGAGATACTGTTGTCTTGTTACAGAGGGAGCTTTCATAAATAGTCACCTATAGCAGTGGATATCTGCTTATACTTTATTTTGCAAGTATAATTAGGGAGGTACTTAAATGACTAAAAAATTTTTTTTTACATAGACATGGTATTTATATACTTAGTATTCTACATTTAAGGGATATCTAGAATTACAGTAAAAATATTTTAACTTACCACCAACAGTTCCTGAATTGTACATATTATCCTGTGTCTGAAGATTGTCCGTATTCTGACCATTGACCACAACTCACAGTGTCAAATCAATGCAGATTTTGAGAAGAAAGGGCAGAAGAACAGTATGATAATCGTCCCTCAAACAGTTGATGTTTCTGGTAGTGTTGCTTATGTGGAAGGCACCGAAGCGTCAATAATTAGAGGTGTTTAAGACCCTCAGTGATCAAAACAAAGCCAGGGATTTGTGTTCCATGCAGAGGTATGGCAGACAGCTGTTCCTGAAGAAATTTTGGAGATAACAGATTATACATCTCAATTTATTCTGTAGTTCTAAAAATTCATTGTACATCCCAAAATCTAAGTGTCTCAGAAAGCAGTCAGGTGACTCTTTTTGCTCTGGCTATTTGTAATCTTTCATAGCAAGTTGTAAGTGTTAAGGCAGAAATTATAGTCAGTTCTGTGATACACAATGCAGGGAGAATTATACCAGGCTTCAGTATTCTAAACATCTGAGGGTAGAAAATGCATGTCACTTAGTGTGGCAGATAGCCACTCCATTAAAAATTACTGAGAGCTGGTTTTTGTTGCTTCCTTATGCATATGACTACAAAATACACTTGATCTGCCATTTCATAGAAGATTATTAGTAACAAGGGTTTTCTGGTTGTCTGTGTAGAAGTCTGAGTGAAGAAGATTATATTAAAAATTAATCTATTGGAATAAATAACTTTTTTCCTGCATTATTTTTGTTGCTTTCAGGCTGATTTAATGGCATTGGGTCATCTTTGTTCTGTATTTTAGTTTCAATTCAAGTCTTCTGTTTGCACATGTGTGCAAATAGATGGTTAAAAATGCATTGTTTTTCCATGAAACAACTGGAAGATTGTCTCTATTACCCCATTACTATCTGCTAAGAAGATAGTTTTTCAATTTGTTTTTTATCTGTCTTGTGTGACTACAGCAAGAAGGATATTGAATACAAAAGCTTCAAAAAGAAAAAATGTGAAATGAACCTGTAGACTGGACATGGTGGACTTACAAAGCCAGACTATAATTTTCAGAGCAGACCTACAGGAATTTCAGCCTTTCAGAGGAGGAAAAAAAAAAACTCTTGAGTCATTCATGTGATATTTTGCTCAAAATTATGCTAGCATTATTAATTTTGGGGAAAAAATGAAAGTATTAATATCTTCTCTAAGACTTTAGTCATCTACTAAATATTTTTAGAGGTTTTGGGTTTTTTGACTCTTTTTTTTCCTGGTGGGTTCCAAAGCAACCTGGTTGATTTTCAGCACAGGAGCTTGTTACTTTGGTTTTTGGATAACTTGCACTGTTATTTGTGAAGCTTTTCCTTAGCTGCCATAAGAAATAGAAGCCTCCCAGAGGCAAGATTAAATATCTTCTTTTAACGTTTCTAGTCTATTCTGAAGTAAATGACTGCATTCATTAATTAATTTCCTAATTAATTTCTGTGTTAATTGGCAAAAATAACCTATGTGAAATGTTTTACAGAAGTACAGAAGTCTGGAATAGGCTTTCTCTAGTTCCTATAAAGCTGAATTTGTGTAGGATTTCTTCAATAGGAATTGGGGGGGCAGGGATAGAGCATGGGGAAGACTTTGGAGAAGACTTGGAGGCTTCACAAAAAAGACAAAAAATGGGAACAGGACATACTAAATTTGAAAAACTGATGATGTCCCACATTAGAGCTAATTTGCACTTTCTAGTATGTGGAAAAGTATTAGTTACAAGAACTTGTACTGTACCTGTTGAATATGTGGAGTCTTTTTTTTTTTTCCTTCAGTCAACTGCATGTTTTCAACTTAAGTTTACTTAAAGTTTTACTGAAAAGAAATGTACAAAGACAGCCATTCAATTGAGGATTAATCACTATGGCAACAGAAATGTGGTGACTGAAAAGGGGGAGGATGTATTCTCCCCTCAGCTTCCTGCCAGCTGTCATATTCAACCTCTGCGGCATGAATTCAGGCCAAAATATAGACTGTGACCAGCTCTAAGAAACTATATCTGTATTTTTATAAATTGGTACAAGAATCGCACTATAAAAGAAGACTTAATCCTCTGAATTGGATGACAGACATTTGGCACTCTTGCCGGTGTTTGACAGAGAAGTAACGGGATGCTTTGTAGTAAAACCTGGATTAATGGTAAACCCCTCTTTATGTTATTGCAATGTGGTGTAAATGAGAGAACTAAGCATGCTGTCAGCCTAGGAAAAAACATGCCCTTTGTATCTCCAATGCAGATTTAAGTGCTGTTGAGAATACTGTAAATACAAAAGTTGTGTTATTAAGAACTCCTCTTTATCGTATTTGTATTACATTGACATTTTGTAGATTATTTAAACAAAGACTTTCTATCAGTTATAGTAACTCTGATTGCAATGTGTTTGCACAGCTTTCAGATTCAACAAGTTTAGATAGTTGTTTACAAAGACTAGGCTTTTGGGAGATAACATTCCATTATCCTTGCTCTTCTAGGATGTGGAACGCTATTCAGCTTTAAAATAATTGTTCCCAAATGATTGGCCTGTAATGCTGCTTTGTTGAGTTTACAGTTTCAGCTTACTATGGAATTAACCATTTCAGTATGGCTTTTATTTTGTTTTGTTTTTTAAATGCAGTGAGTTGGTATGTGGCGTTCTGTGGAGTGCGTAGTTGCATATTCATTATGGTGTATGTGCGTGGCTTTTGGTTTTGCTGCTGCTTGATGGAGCAGTGAGGGGGCGAAAGAAGATAGGTGCAAGTCCACAGGCTTCTGCTGGAATAAGCAATTACCTTAGCTTTGAATTCTGAGACAGGCTGACTATCTCCTCTCATTCTCAACAGTAATAATAACTATATTGATTTATGGTCAGATTTTTGGTGCGAGAAAGTGATATGGCTTATAGGAGTTCTTTTTGTTAAAGAGTCAACAAATTAAGTAAACCTGCTCCCAGTGAGAAATTCTTGCTCTGTTACCTGGTTGGAGAAGAAGCAGACTCAGAAGTAGATGCGAAATAGAGAACACAATCTGTCCTCAATTGACTTAGTAGTCAATTCTCCACTACCAAGCAAAAGATTAGAGTTTATGGAATGTCCTTGGTCTCGGAAGAGAAGCAGAAAAGCTAGATATGACAACCAGGGGAACATAACTACATATTACTCTGGTAAAATTTCTTTACTTTTATCAGCAGGTATAGCTAAATACTGGTCTCTTGGTGTTGGCAGAATATTTTGGAGGAGTAATTTGGACCCGGAATAGGTCTAACATTTTTCATAGCTTGAAGAATATTTCAGCTATTGGTCTCCTGTGATACAATCAACTACTAGATACCTTTGTATTCAGAGCCAACATCCTGAGTAGCTTTGTTTAGTTCAGAAAGTTTGAGTATAAATGTGATTGTCCTAGAGTATTCTAAAATTTTAAGGTAGGTTAGCTTCATTTTCTAATACAATTGAGGTACTGACCATTAGCTGTACAATTACTTCTCATTCTCATTCTACAATCCTGTTTTGTTAGAACAATAGACAAATGCAGTCTGAGTGAGACTAGCTTTCTTAATTGAAAAGCAAATTCAGAGGGAAAAATTAACGTCCACATCAGAAATCATTCTAAAATACGATAAGATTCAGGCTTATTTCAAACTGTGGCATGTGTAAGTCACCATAAGCCTCTGAAGTACATAGTTTGTTCAGTAGTGTATCCTCTGTGAGTAGACAAGCAATTCTGGTTTATTTAAGAATCAGGTGAAAGTAGAGACATTCTCATTATTTGATAACTTTTTTATTATCTTGACCATATGGACCTCTTTTTTATAGAAACTACATGAAGTTTTATGTGGACACTGTTACACTTTGCCTTCCTTGGCATACAGAATAGTTTAGGAAGAAATTCTTGTTTGACATGTGTATGTGTAGAAGAGAGAAGGAAACAAGACCAAGAACAAACAGTCAGGTAGCAAACACTTCAGGGTATTTATATATGTCTTGACAAGTAGAGGAAACATAGGTAAAATAAAAACAATATCTAAGAATACCATATGTTCAAGAAAAGCATATAGAAAGGTTATAGTAATTCATATATATTATGGGAAAAGCTCCCAGGGAAGAAAACAAGGAAAACTATAAGGGCAAAAAACATTAGCTGAAATAATTTAGAATTGTAATTTGGGTAGATAAATTCACTGTAATGCAGTAAGTATCACCTGATAAAAATAATAACAATCATCCAAACCCCACTGCAACTCTCAATATATCTGGAAAGTCATGTGTTTTCTCAGGTTTTGAGGGAAGTGGGAAAATATAAAGAAGAATACGGCATAAGGGTTTGTTATTTGCTTGCAAGCTGTTTTTTAAAAGGACAGTCATACTGAATTCACTGTGTTTCATGCTTTTGTATGATTTAGGTGACTGCAAGGCAGCTAGAGATTTGCGAAGACCTTTCTTGTTTGTTTTAGAAATGAAAACAAACAATGAAACTGTGCAATGGAAAGTATCCTGGATATCTGGCAGCAGTGGTTTCGTGCATACCTGAAGAGAAAAGCCTGTTAACACTGTTTCAGCTGTGAGTGGGGAAGTCAGAGGGGGTTGTTGCTGACTGGAAGTCAGTATTTGGCATGATACTTACCATAGTGATACTTTGGGTAGTCAAGGCAGTAAAAGAGAGGAAGATGCTCAGACATGGTACAACTATGGCTGAGGAACAATTATGGAAACATGTTTTCAACTTCAGATTCAGGCTTTTGAAGGAAGTTCATTATCCTCTAAGTCTGGTGACTTGAATTGTCACAAACATGAGATGGCTTAAAAAACATGTATCCCTGAATCTCTGTTGTTCTTTTTTTTTCTCTCTACTCATCTTACTCCTAGCCTCTGCTTGCTTCTTCTCCCGTACATTTTCTTCGTGCTGTACTTAAAAAGGTGAACATTGTTCTCTTTTGCCTTCCTTGAAGGGTCTAAAGAGAGGAAAAAGGAAGTCACAGGCTTAAGGCGGCCAGTCATTTCAGTCATGTCTGAGGATGCTTATACAAGGATTAGCATTCATTGCTCCACAGTGTAGAGCCACCTCTTTATGCCTGTTGTAGGGAGAACAGTTACTGAAATTTTGTACTGTCAAAGATAGACAAAAATTGGTTTTGGTAGGTATATACTATTTTTAAAACTGCTGTAAGTATGCAGCAGGAGACAGATTGTCACACGGAGCTAACAGATCCAAGAGTTGTTGCAGATTCAAGATGGAATCTCTAAGTAGAAGTTACTGCTGCATTGTAGCACTGAAATTCTTGCTTGATGCTCAGCTGTGTGTCTTCATTCTTTTTGAAGAGTGTTACCCTTAAATGTGAACTGGTGTGGGACTCTAAATGTGCAGATGCTACCATTTTTGCTGGACTCTTGATTACAGCCTGTATGTAATGTGTAACTCAAAGAAATGAAATTCATTATTGGTATCCAAAACTCGCTTTATACTTTTAAGAATAAGAGATATATATAACAAAAGAAGAGGTGGTGGAGGAAAATACCTTCTGTGGTAGGAAGATATAGCGTGTTTATGTTGAAAACCCCATAGACTAAATGGAACATGAAAGGTGGAAATTAATGCTTTCTTTGTATTTTTTCATGAGTGGTAAGAGTCCCTAGGTTTTCTAAATACTTTTTAAACTATTTTCTGCGCAACTATGTAGTAATCCCTCTTCTTTCCCATTGCAATATATGGAAAGCCTCTTCAGAATAAGTGCAGTAAATGAAGAGGGGACAGAATAAGAAAACAAGTGTAAGACAGGAAGGAATGGCTGCACTTTTACATGTTATGTTCCCTAGTTTGCAACAGTACTTCACAATCTTACTGTACTTTCATTAACTTTATTTCTTTCCATTTACTGGAATATTTTCTGTAATATAACCTTTTCTCACATCATTTTTTGAATCCAAAAAATGTTGCCTTCTACTAAACAACTTGCATCTGTGGCTCTTTGTCTTATATATATGCCTTTGAAAATAAATTTCTTCTTTCTTTTGAACTTTGTGTGAAGATTTTCTTGACAATGTGGGAGTGCACAAAGTTAAATAAAACAGTAAAAATGTTACATTCAGTAATTCAATAGAAATTTTTTGTCTTTGATATCAAAGGAATTATTTTGCTGCACCTTTTTCCCCCTGCCAAGATACTGGTTTGAGAAGAGAGAAAATGTGAAGAATGCAGAAATAGGTAGTTGTGTTACAGATAATTCAGTATAGGCACACTTCCCAGTAAGTATGTGTTCAATTTTAAGTGAAACTTTTCCACTTTGAACAGTGGAAATTTCATAACATGCACTGCAAATGCATAGTGTCTTCAATATAGTTAAACATTTAGTAAAGACTAACTGCTTCCATGATTGCTGTCAATTTTTTTGTAAAAATTCTTTTAAAATACATATAGCAGATACTGTATGCTATACTAAGTATTTCTTTAGCTTTGCATCGTGTATTTCAGAAGGCTAATCAGAAGATGTGCTATGCAGTGCATGAAGAATATGTTTTAACACACAGTATGTTTGTGTGATGGTATAATGTTTGGCAAGAATGCTTTTGGATTTCGATGCTGTGATTTTTAGTTGTCATTCAGAATAACTTGTTCTAAGTCATGTATTTGAAACTTTTAAACATATCTACATTTTAAAGTGAGAGAAAAACGTCCTATTACTTATTTAGGTACTGGATGAAATCTTAATTCCGGGAGAAAGAATTTGTGTTGCTATTTGTGCCATTTGAATTTTTTGACAATTTTTCTTCTACCTGTGTTAAATTGGTTAACATTTTTCAGTAGGTACATGGCTGAGCCATAAAGCAAAGCCAGACTTACTAAAAAAAATACAAAAAAAAATAGCAGTTTTGCCAACTGCTATTTGGCAAAACAGTTGGATTTTGACCAAAAAAATTGACTACTTCTTTCTTTCTATTGAATCACTCTTTCTAGTCCTGAGATATGCTTATGGACTGGTCACTATCATCTTTCCAGCTTTCCAATAATGACTTGAAAATGCTGTAGTCAGCTTTTATATCATTAAAATGTTCTTTCAAGAAGTTCAGCAACAGTTGTACTTACCTATGTACATTAATTAATATACAGTACTTCAAGTTAAACAAAGATAATGTGCACTTCCAAATGCACAGCATACTTCTTGTGTTGAAGGATTTTTGTTTCTCTTATTATTCCATTCTTTTAGTCATAACATTTATTAATTCATAAAGGGTCTGACATTCAATAATATAAATAGATTGTTAAATGTGCTAGTATCAGTAGCGTATGAACAAGAGGCAGAGGTTCCTAGCTGAATCAAATTGTATTATTTCAGTCTTGCTTTGCAAGATTGCCTTATGCATATGATATACTTGATAATTCAGGTGAACAAGACCAGTGCTGTAAAGTCAACATGGGATTTCATGTAGGAGCAAATAGTGGGACACACACAAAATAGTTTGGTAGAGAAAGTGCTCGAGGAACAGAAAATAGAAAGCTGTTGAAAGGAAATGTTTATCATGAAATAGATTTCAATCGGTGAGTTAGAAGGCAAACATTGAAAGAGAATCAGAAAGAAATAGGCCATGAGAGGGAAGAATTAAGGAGAGTAATACATATAGTCAAATTCAAAAGGAAGCAAAATAGTGTCGACTGTTTTCAGTGCTGGAACGTTGACTGCAGTTTTCACTTTTTTAATGGTAACGCTAGTAGAAAGACACAGGGAATATTTTCATCTATATGTGTGTAAAGCTTACCTCTACCTAGAGCCTCATCTATGTATTGCTCAGAGTAACAACCTTCAGATTTGACGAACATGGAGACATCTTAAGAAAAACTGAAATAAGTGTTTTACTGACAAAATGTTTATCATTTTTTTAAAAAGAAATTATTGGATTTGGGATTTGTGGGCTGGATTTAAGTTGACAAACTTTCAAAAACATTCACAGGTTCAACAGAGCCAGTTGTGGTGTTTCAGCCTAACCGGCTGCCATTTAATCAATTGGCTTTGCTGCAGAGAGCTGAGCAGTTTTTCAAGAGTAACTCGCAGTGGCCATGGGCCTTCGCTGGCATTAGCTCCTGCAACTCTTGGGGTAATTTGTTTGTAGTAACTTCTTCCTTCAGGAAGAAACTTTGAGCCAGCTAATTCAGGTGGAAGAAGAGGAGCTCTTTGTGTGTGCTGTTGTTCTTTCGGGTTTGGCAGTGTGGGTCAATGTACTTAAAAGTTTTGTACTTCCAGAACGAAATATGCCATTTGTGAGTTTATTTGCAATTAGCAGTACTTTTTTATATTAATTCTGATTCTCTGCAAAGACAAGCAATTTCATGACTTCCAGTGTGTTTACAACATTTGGCTTTTTTCCCAAAGAGATTTTTAATCTTCTGTGTTTGAACAGATGTGTAAACCAAAGTATTGCTGCCTTATGTACTTTGGTCTTGTTTAATAAGAGGTAGATGGATGCACGTTTATGGGGGTTTAAAATACTTTTAAGACAGGCATTGACATGGTTAGGCTTGCATTCTATGTAAGTTACGCTTGCTTGAATTAAATTACACAATCCTGATTTCCTGACAGAGTGACAAATACGCTGGGTCTTATCATAGTGAGACCTGAATACTATAAATATTTTTCATGCAAAAGTTCCATCAAAATAAATACATTTTAAAACTAGCATTGCTTTCATCTTTCAAAATACATTTGCCAAGTAAAGTTCTGTATTACCTATGAGTATCTTAAAAAAGTAACATTTTAAATGCATACAGAATTAGCAAGAAAACTCTAGAATACTTATGCTGTAGATAACATCTGCTAATTCAATCTTAATTTTGTTACTATCATCATAACATTATTATTGGGAGGTAGGGTTTTTATGTTAGTTGGGGCCTTGGTTTCAGTTTTGTGTAGTATAACTTTTAGTAGTGCAGTGAAATTTTAATCTTTGGAGTTGTGCATTTAGCTTAAAGAGTGAAAATTTATGCCTGTAGGTCCCTTACTATTAACATCTCTCTCTGTATGCTAGTTTGAGGTTACTTGCCAAAGTAATAGATTGAGAACAGATGTGAGATCCTAAAGCTCAAGAACATTATGAACAGCCCATGGAAATAAAGGAAGTGGACATGGATCAAATAGAAACACATTGGGAAGAAACATTGTAGATCCAAAACCAAATTTTGAACTGCAGATGACAAAGTGTGAACACAGTTTGTGTTTTCATCTCTCAAGTAGTGTTAGCAGGGGGATTGAGGACATTGCCAAGCAATTATTCTTTCCTCTGATCTCATTTGGTGGCGGGGGGGAAGGTAATGTTGCTTTTCTGGTTTTCCTCTGTTTTTCCCTGCTCTTCAAACACGTTCTTTAATTTTCCTATTTCCCTTGGCTTGCCTTTTGGGAAAGGGAAATTTTGACAAGAATTTGTGAGAATTTCTGAAAAATAACAAAGGTTTAAACAGAATTATATTTTTGTGCAAGACATTGACTGTCAATGCATGATGAGTTGATCTGTAACACAATCTTCTTGAATTTGATTGAAACATTAGCTTTTTATGACCATTACATTTAAAGTTTTAATCTTAATCAGTTTTATCAGTGTTGTAATGAAAGTGTAATGTTTTTCTGTTTTTCTGATCATTTACAGGTAAGTATAGTGATACCTCTTCCGAAAGTATCTTTACAACTCTGAATAATTGTGTGTGTGCATTAGAGATTGATATTGACAAAAATGATTTTTACCTTAGCTTTGGTATCTTTGAATAGTGTTGTGATTATTTATAGTTTTTCTTTGAGTGTTAAATTGCTAAAGTAACTAAGAGTTCTGAATATGTACTGTGCAAAAATTGTGTAACAAATTAACAAGCAGGAAGCAGTGAATCCAAATAATCCATTAATCTTGATACATAATATCTTCCTGGATTAAATCATTAAGACTGTAAGCTATTAAAACAGGCATTTTCTATTTTATAGTAGTATCTGGAGGCTGTAACTGAGATTTGGGTCCTGTGGCGCAGGATTAAGTATTTGTATAAACCCTGTTTATGCATTAGAGAACTTAGATCTTTCATTTAGCCTCACAACTAACCTGTTTGGGAAAATATCCCACCTTATTCTTAGAGAACCAAAACTTGCCTTCAGTGTCCCTGGAAGTTTGTGACTGAGTAGGGAGTTTACACTGCAGCTCTGAATCCCATTCTTAGCACTCAAACCATTGAGTGCTAGCTAAGAATGACAAAATTGGGCATAGTAGAGCTCATCGCTATGTCCCAGACACAGCTCTTTTGACGATTTCCATGTCTCATTTTACTAGAAAAATGAAGAAAACCCAGAAGATGACACAGCAGAGAAGAACATTATTAAAGGAGGGCAAAAAATGTTGGCAAACAGTAAGCAACATCACCTGTATGTTATGCATCCTGTGACCCAGAAAAACAAGCAAGTACACAGAGTAGGTTCAACCACCTTCTTGGTTGGAAAGACACCCAAAGGAATCCGCAGGTGAGACTGTTTTGGTGAGGTAGAAGTAAAATTCGAAGCTTGAAATGAACTTCGTTCTGGGCAGTTGCTTTTGTCTCTGTCTCAACCATACTCAGGGAATATTGATGATTTTCTGTGGCAAGAGCAGAACTAATGGGAAACTTCCACTCACACTATACGAAGAGTACCATAATTGATTAATAAAATGAATTGAACCCACAAATCACTTTAACGTGTTGATTCAATGTGTCACATTACATAGCTGTGCAGATGTCATCACCACCAGTATTCATGGTATGTGCACCAGGCAGTACTACAACCCAGTGTTTAAACTGTATAGAAGCAAGAAATCTTGTAGTGTGAGTTTTTGACTGCCTACTGGTTTTACCCAGCTCTCATCACTTTCATTGAAAGACTGTTAAAAAAAAATTGGACTGTGTATTTATTTCTTAACATGGGGATCAATATTGTTTAATACGTCTTTTAATATATTGTTTCCCCCCCCTTATGTTTGGAAGGATAATTTTTGTCTCCTCATTTTCCTTTCTCCCCAAACTATTGCTATTATTAATATGAATATTTAAATTCCATTGTTAAATAGATAGAAGTTCAATAACGATAGCCAGATGTTATGTGGAAATAGAAAGCAGAAAGCTGTAGCTAACTAGGCAAACCTATAGAACTGGGATTTGGTATATATTTTTATTCTTGAGACAAATAAATTATTATATGAGAGTTGGTATGTAGGTAATATCTCTTAAGTGTTCAGGATCTGTCGTATTAGCCAGCTGGCATCAGCTATCCAAACTGTTACTGTTGAAGTGCCAGACTTGCTTACTATTATAGATACTGAAAATGCTAAATATTTAAGAGGCAGGTGGAGGAGAACCCTTCATGCTAAAAATGCTGAAAATTGTACTCATAGTTATCAATAATTTGTTGAGGTAAAAATTTTCAAAAGCAATGAAGTAATTAAGGATGTATTCCAAGATCCTAAAGCCATATCTAGCAAAAAGCTTAAGCACGTTAACTCTTAAACATTAAGCAGGTCATCTGTTAGCATGTCACTCGCAGTTGTACTTTGTAGTACATCTGGATCCGCTGTGCAATGAATGAGGATGATTAAGTGCCTCAGTTTTGTGTGTTGTAGTTGTAAGGTTGTGTGGGAAGCCATCTGCAGTCACACACCGCATGCAAAAGGGTATAGCTGGAGCTAGCCAGTCAAGCGGTATTTGAGGCCAAACAGGGTTAAATCTCACCGCCTACTGGAGCACTCATACAGGAAAGGCAACATGTTTGATACCTGTTCTCTGACAAGGAAGCATAAACCCACCTCTCCAGCCTTCCAGTTAGGTTACCTGATCCCAAACTGTGGCTAACTTGATTAGAATGATCTCCTTTAGTTAGAGCTTGGCCTTTTAGCAGAAAGAAATATTACATATCTCGCTAGATAGGATGGAGGGGACAGTCCCTGTCCCCTGTGAATGTGTATATTCAGCTTTTGTTTAGCAAGTCTTTTAAAAGGAGTTTGAACAACTACTTTGTGTTTTTTGGTTTTTGGTTTGGTTTTTCTTCCCAAAAACCACTCTACCACCTGTCCATCTGCATCCTTCTGAAGTCTGGTCCTTTGGTATGAAATCTTACCTACACTGAAAGTCAGTAAATCTTTGCGTCGTAAGCTGAGGAAATCACACTGGAGTTTGGGATTCGGAAGTCACTTCAGTTCTTCTAAGGTTGTTCTCTTTTTTGCTAATAAAACCAAAGCTCCTAATAAGGAAGTTTCATTTAGTGATTGCTTTCTGGGATATGTGAAGTATGTGAACTGAATGAATTGCTTGAAGGCTGCTTTTGTTTCTAGTTAAAGGTGTCAATGCATTTTTCCTTCTTGGTAATTACAGGAGACAATTTGAGGAAATGGTATCCCACTTTAATATGGGATCAGTGGAAGAACTGGCAGAACATATTGCAAAAGCTACATCAGAAACAAGGCAGAAGATGTTGAAGGAATTCTATGTTTCCAAGCATCCAGAGATGGAGTCTTTCTTTCCAGTTGAAGTACCAGCTTCACATGACAATGAGGAAAGAGAATTGGGTGCAACACGCTCCAGAAGAAGAAAATCCATTGTTAATTTTGGAAGATCTATGTCTAGATCTTCATCAGCTAAAGGTCTGAGTGGAACTACAGAAACACAGAGCTGTAAGGGAGAAGTAGAGCAACTTGCAAAATGTAAACAATCACCCACTGTTGCTACTCAATATATCGAAAGGAGAAACAGTCAGGCATTCAAGGATTTTATGGCATCTGGCTCATTAAGCAGTAAATCAGAAATAATTGAGGTGCTGTCTGTAAAAAGTTGTGAAGGACAGCAGGACTCCAAAGGAACACAGCTGCCAAGAAAAAGATCCCTGTCTCAGTCAGAAAATGGGGAGAGAAAAGCTCAGACTTGTAAGAAAAAGTCTTTTTTGGACTTAGTTGGAGATACCTCTATTCTCAATGACCTCTTCAGAAATGATGGAGACAGGCCTACAGAATCACCAAGGAGATTCCCTTCAGGGCAGGTAGAAAAATCAAAGGAGAGACCAAAAGACTTCTGGGACATGCTGAATGAGCAGAATGAGGAAAGCCTCAGAAAGCTCATGGACATAGCAGTTGTAGAGAAGCTATGTGAAAGAGCACCTCATCCCCCAGTGACAGAAGAGAGAGACGTGTATGAAAGTTCTCTTTGGAAACAAAATGAAAACTTTCTATGGAAAAAATACAGTCCAGATGATTCAGATGAACCATCCACTGCTACATCTTGTAATGTAGTAAAATGAAAGTTTTCTATGTGAGTTGAACTATAATTATCTTAGTTAAACATTAAAATATGCACAACTTCATCAGTGTGCAGCAAAACGTGATATCTCCATGAAATTAAAGGCAAAGTGATGAATTCAGATTTATGATGATATGGATTTACATTTTACAGATGTGAATATATATGTAGTTACATATGCAATATATAGTACATATGTGCATATATAGTTCATAGGTACTATATATTATTGTAAGCAATGATATATTGATTTTAAATTAAACTTTTTAATGTTCTGAGTGCACTTTGCTTTCTTGCGTCCTGATTTTATTTCTAGACTCAGTAGCAGTACTAAGTAATTTTCCCCCTTTACTTCCGTTTGGATACCCTCAGTCATCTCAGCAGAATGTAATGATATTAAGAGGATCTGAGAATGATACTCCACATATTTTCTGAACTACTAGAGACTTGGGGACTTCATGTGACAAGGATGATATCTTTGTGTCTGATAACCTTTGGATTTTATTTTTCTTCTATGATTTTGCTCAGTCTCTTTGAAGCTGTGGTGCTTCTAATTATCTTCAGTATCCTGTAGCAGTGAGTTTCTCAGCTTGGTTGATGTGAAAAATCACCAATTTTTGTTCATTCTTTTTCAGTGCAAGATCTACAGCACATTAAATTGTTAGGTGTCAAATTTAGTCTTTCACTACCCTTTCATCTTTATTTTTATAGACTTCTGTCATGTCTTTGAGGTGGTGTGGTCTGGACAATACTCTGTGTTGATTACTTGACGGGAATACTCATATACAGTTTCCTAGTGAATTTCAGGAAGAATGTAATGCTATTCAGTAACTCAGACTTACCATTGTCTCCATTTATTTCATACATTTGAGTACCTGATAGGAAAAAACCAAATATGGTTTATACTGGGAAAACTTATTTCTTGTTTGGCTTACTAAATGAAACAAGTTACATTTTGTGAGCATTGTATTCTGAAAAACTTCTAAATACATTGTCGTATTGTGTGTGCACTTAGAAAATATAATGCAATTGCAGGTGCAGATTGCCAATTGATTCTCTCTTTTTCTTAGTTATTTAAAATATGAATATTTTAGTATGAGCAATTTTGTGGGCATTTGTATGGCCACATTTTTTTAAACTCAGGCATGCATACTCTTAAAATCAGTGAGAACTTTTTTAAGAAGTTAACTGTAATCTTCTGTTGAGTTCTGCTGTTGACACTGAATATTACTCTTAAGTGTATTACAGCTTGAATGCAGCTTCTGCTGATAGTCAAAAGGTTTGTCACTCATATTATGCTTACATAATTGTAATTCTTGCTGTGCTACATCAGTTTGCGCCAATATAATACTTTAATCGTTTCTGCAGCAGGAACAACCTATGAGTGTGTCTCGGGGACGCTTCACCAAGGATGTTGCTTACCACATTTGAAGTACACAAATTAGACAAGACACAGCAGTTAGCTACCTGAGGGCATTTCAAGAACCGTAGGATCACAGAATCATGGAATGGTTTGGGCTGGAAGGGACCTTCAACTATCATCTAGTCCAATTCCTGTGCCATGGGCAGGGACCTATTTCAGTAGATCACGTTGCTCAAAGCCCCATCCAACCTGACCCCGAACACTTCCAAGGATGGGGCATCCACAACTTCTCTGGGAAACCTGTTTGTGTGTCTCACCACCTTTATCGCAGAAAAATTTTCTTTCTCATATCCAATCTAAATCTACCTTCTTTCAGTTTAAAACCATTACCCCTTGTCCTGTCGTTAGTAAAGTCTTTCTCAGTCTTTCTTACAAGCCCCCTTTAGTGAAAGGCTGCAGTAAGATCTCCCTGGAGCATTCTTTTCTTCAGGCTGAACAACCCCAACTCTCATAGTCCAGCCCTCTGACCATTTTCGTGGCCTTCCTCTGGACCTGTTCTAATAGGTCCATGTCTGCCTCATACTGGGAACCCCAGAGCTGGATGCAGTATTCCAGGTGGGATCTCGTGACAATGGAGTAGACTGGGAGAATTACTATCCAAAATTGCCACCTGGAGGACTCCTGTAGTGATCAGTCACACTTAATTATGAAGGTTCAGTTAATCACCCAGTTTCAAGTCAGACCATTCTCTCAAGCCACTCCATTATCTCATCTATGCAGATGACCAGCAATCCAAGGAATAAATGACCCAAGTACACTGGGTGTGCACACCGTGCATCCCTTCACCACTGAAAGCATAGAGAATCTGTGCTCCTGATGATATCATATTGTTTAAGTCTATTATCCTTTGAGCCTGTTTTCAGGTAGGCAGCAGAAAGCAGTTGTGAATATATTCCTGATGGCATTCTGTTTTTGTGAGCAGGCGTTACCTTGCGGCACATGATAGGCCTTAGTGGAAGTATGGGCATAGGAATGTCTGTTGGTTCTACTGTAAGGGCTGTTGAAGAAGCAGCGTATACAGCACTCTATGCGTGAGGAAAGCACTGGTGCCAGTCCCTGCTTTATGCCCCCTCTGCTACATAGGGAGATTTCTGTCTGTAGCGCTGGGTATTGTGCATTCCTCCGGCTTTGGCGTGACAGCTGCTGGGGGCCTGTTTTGGCTGCTGTGTTTCAGCCAAAGCAAATATACTTACATGTGTCTTCCGCATTTGACTTTATCCTTAACACTGGAGTTGGAATGGGCCTGGTTATGTTATGATCATAGCACTTCTCACAACATCAAGTTCGTATACTATTAATTCACGCTTACAGTTTTCAGGGCAAGTAATTTTTATGTTGGGCTTTTTAAACATTAGTTTTGCCCAACAGTTCACTAGTGCTATGTAGGGTTGCAGACTCAAGCTTTCAGAATAAAGATGTGTAAAACTGGGATCAGGCCGTAATTCCTCTCTGATGCAGGTATCAAATGCATGCATTATCAAATAGAATGATAGATAATAATGTTGGTTTTTTACCCAGTCATGAATAAACACAGGCTGCACCCCGTTCAACTACTTCTATAACAGAACATACTCATTCTTCCTCTTAAGATGGCAAGGAACACGACCTTAGGGTTCTATTTAGTATTTTAGATGCAAAACATAGATTTATCTATGTATCTCTGAGAACATAATAAATACTTTCCAAGATGTACTTGGGCCAGGGGGGAAAGCTGCTGGATCTCTTTTTTATTCCAATACTTAATACACTATCAGTATTTCAGAAAGGAAGGGTTCACCTTGTCAGTTGTTGAGAATATGCAATATAGTATATATGGAGTAAGGAATTTCTACATACTGACAAGTTATGATCTTACTCCTGAAACACTGGCTGTAATAAAATTTTGAAATGAAAACTCTTCTTCACAGATAGGACAAGTGGTTGTAAGATAAGCAATGTCATATCTCGTTTGCCAAAGTGTGTCACATTTCTCAATGCTATGGGATCATGTGAAGGACTACCTTACCATAACACATAAGCAAAAGAGGCCAAGGCTTCATGTTGCTCTGGAAACCTTAACCCTAATCTTTGATTTTTGTAAGCTTTGAAATCTCAAAGGTAATGCTGTATTAGTATAGGGTTTTGCATTGAGTATATGGTATAAATTGTTTTATGTGAAGGGTAAATGTTATGAAATTTTAAAAGCTTGGACACTGAAGCTGCACAGCAGCAGTCTGTGAACAGTGGTGGTTTTTGTGGTCTGGATGACTGCCCATTGGAAAATAAGCTTAAATTTGATCTGGAGCAGCTTCTACTTTAGGTCATGGGAAGCTGTTGCAGGCTTTGCTCTGTCTCTGTATTAACTATTATGCGCTTATTGTAAGTGGAAGCCATCTAAAAACTTGATAGGGAAATCTGACTTAACTACCTGGAACAAGGAGCTCGGTATTTGACATATGTGGTAAAGCAGTAAGAAGCTTGGTCTTTGCAGGCAACTAACATAAGTAAGATAAATGTGTTCCCTAACTGTTTCTCTCACCCTGAATCTATGCTGTTACCGTTGTATTATACCCAATGATATTTAAGATACAAACTGAACTTTATGATAGTCAGTTGGAGCAGCTTTTAAAAAAAAGTCTCAACTAAGAAAATAAAAGAAGACGACATAAAACTGTTAGTTAGTGGTACATTTGAATTATGTACAGCTGAAGAAAGTCAACTTAAGACAGGGAATATGTGGACCCTTCTTGTTGATGTTAATAAATAGGGCATAAATTAAGGCCTTTTACTGGTGGCATCGTTACTGATTTTCTTTACAGCATTCTGCTTAGACAGGCAAACTGCTACTTAGCTAAAGAGAAGTTTTGGTGGAATGAAAAATATGGCCATCAAAAGCATAAAAAGGCTGCTGCATAGAGAAGGGGAATAGTCCCTTCATGTCCACAGCAAAAAGAGAAGAGTTAAGTGGCTTAAACAGCACTAAAAGTAATTGAAGTTAGATAATAGGGAAACTCTGTAAGGGTAAATGTTGTATAATAGGTTGCGTAGTGCCAATGTTGGAGGTCACCAAGAATGGGAGAGACAAATATCTGTTAGAAGTTGCATAGGTAAAATTGACCTTTTTTAGGCCAGAAGGTGGGACTGGTAGCTTCTCAATCCGAGGGCTAGAAGGTGCTAAATAACCTTGTTGATTTCAGTTGATATCAGGACACTAGAGAGAGGTTTCACCTGAGCACCACTAGTTTGTCAGTCGTAGTCTAAATCAGTAGATACTGGGGAGGGCAGAATCTGATTGAGTTAGGTAAGATTTCTCATTTTACTTCTTTAAGTACCTCAGAGCAGTGGAACTGTACAGGTACAAGGCTGAACTTCAGGGCTGATTCCCAAGAATGAAGCTGTCACCATTTTCCTGAAGTACTCGGGAAATTATAATTTCTCGTCTATAAGGTGATGATATGCATAAATCAAAACCTCCACAGAAGTGCATGTTTTATTCACATGTATGCCAAGTACTGATAATATATTTGTGGAAATGGATTCATTATCTGCAATTAAACTGAGCGCAGGAAGATGTCTTGAAGTAATATTTATGTCACTCCATAGCTTCCTGTGCAAATTTAAAGTATTTTACTGGGTAGTATCACCTAAGCCATAAATATTGCAATTTTGTGCCCGAGGGATCTGTGTGTAAAATATTTTTGTCATTAATAAGATGTGTGTATGATTTAAAAAAAAGAATCTGAACAAATTCAAAAGGGACGAATTTGACCTATATTTGGAGGCATATCCTTCAAATATTAAAAACAAACATAATATTTGCCTTCTCAGAAATCTGTGATTATTGTGTTGTTTGGCTTTAAAAATGGAGGAGGCATTGGG